GGATTTCTGGAGGAGGTGAAGCCCAGCCTGACCCAGCCCCATGGATCATCCCACATCCCTGCCCTCCATAAATCCCTGCAGTTCTGCTGCTTCAGAGGATGGAAAGATGATGTTTCTAGCAGCAAATGCACATCCTGGTGTCTCCATTTCAAGCCCACGTCGGCCGTGGCACTGCTGTCAAAATTATCCCACCATAAATTAGAAAACACTCCAGATGATGGATAGGCCATGCAGAAAAGTAATAACTATTGAAGGAAAGCCAGCACAAACTGCCACTCACAGAGAAAGCCCCAAATTTACTGACTTCTGCAAGCTCTTGAGCAATAAATGGAGAAATCAATAGGAGATTACAGAAATACACATTTTTAATTATTAAAAAGCCCTCGTATTGATCGGTTGCTTTTTTTTTCCAGAACACCATTATAGAGATTTATAAACGCTGCCTATTCACTTCATTGAAATCTGCCAAGAATTCAGATGAAGGGATCCTATCTCTCWATTCCCCTGGAAAAGTGGCACTTGTGCCTTGTTTGGGAATTACAGTGATCCTCCCTCAACAGCCACTGCTTCAGGACAGGGTTTGGAGCACCCTGGGATGGTGGAAGTGTCCCTGCCCATGGCAGGGGTGGCACTGGATGGSATTTAAAGTCCCTCCAACCAAACCCACTCCATGATTTAATAAAAAAACATTCAGAACAGGCATTTTGGAAACTTCCCACACCCACAGGCAGGGCTGGGAACAGCAGAAGCAGCAGTTTTGACTGATTCTGCACAGATCCAAATCCCTGTAACCACACTTGGCTCAGGAGATTTACTCCTTGCCACAAGACTTTGGAGAAATAAGCACATTAAAACGATCACAGCAAATCAACGTGACCCCCTCTTTTCAAATCAGGGCTTAAGAGCTGCAGGGATCCTTCCAGGCTTAGAGCAGCACAAACTTACACAACAGGGAGCCAGCACAGGCAGCTCCGCTCTGGGTCACACTGGATCCAGGAGAAAATCAAAAATGAATAAAAATCAAATCACCAGGGGGGTTTTCTGCCCATTGAAAAGGCAGAATAACCTTGTTAGTTTGTCYCTCTCAGCCTGAGAGGGTCACTGAATGTTCAGTGACAGCTTTTCTTTGCTCCACAGTGTCTCAGCCCAACCTCAGATCCTCTTTTTTTCCCAGGGAAAACTGGTTTGAACTATGGGATGCACTCAGCGTGGTAACACCCTTAAAAATGAAGGCAATTCCTCCCTGTGGTTTGTGCTGAATTCTTCCCTCAGGAGAGAGGGGCTGTGCTCCCACCCCTCTGGTACCTACCCTGTCGAAGGGAATCCCATATTTCTTCAGGATGGAGGGAGAAATGAGGGTCATCTTGTGCCGGAGGAAAGCGTCGCATCCCTGAGAGCTTCCCGGGAAAAATCCTGTGGGAAAAACATTCAAAAGAGGAATGTCAGCACGGGGCTGCTTTTGGGGAAATAATATCTGTTAGATTTCAGATCAATCTGCCCCAATAAAGGGAAAAAATGTTGATATTCGGGGAAAAGAAGGGAAAGGAAATATCTCCGTGCAGGAGGGACACGCTGCAGCAGAGGCAGCAGGACCTGACACAGTCAGCACCTCAACACCATTAAATATGAAATTCTACCCCAAATCCACGCTGAGTTATTAAAAAAAACCACAAATAATGAAAAAAACTAAAATAGTGGTGAACACTGAGCAAACTCCTCAATATCAACCTGATCAATTTTCCTCAAGATCACATTTTTCCCTCCAAGTGGGTGATTCCATAACGAATTCTGTGTTTATAGGGACCCCAACCCATCACCATTTAGGAAATCAAACAGCCCAAGCTCTGGAACCCATGACACAYCATGGAAGGAGTTTCAGAAAGTCAAAAGGATTGCAAGATCCCAGGTTTTCTTATATTTTTTGCACTAAAAGCCTTTCCATTAAAATGATGACTGTCTGCTACCCAGCCTGTCGTCCCTCTCTGCAGTTCCTCTTTTTAATGCACAGTTTAAGTGGCTCTCATTAAAGCCACTAATAAAGAAGCCCATTTGAAGTGATTAGCACCACTAACATGGCAACACATTAACATTCTCTCCGTGGGCTCCTGTGGCTCTCCCAGTGAGCCCATTTACAGCTCAGCTATTCATTTTCYATATTAATTGCACACTCATTTCTCCACGGTAAACTTCTCCCCACCGATGTGGGGATATCAGCTTTTTCCAGAGTTAAATCATCACCCAACCCAGCTCTCAGTGACAGCAAACTAAAATCAAGATCAGATCATYGATAATTCTCTCCCGATTTCGTGCCTAAAAATTGATCATCCGTAAAAAATTAGTTACAAACAGCAAGAAACTTATTATTGCTGCTGTCAGGCTCCGAGTGGTGTTTCAGAGCCTGCAGAACACAAGTTGTCTGATTGATTGACTTCTTAGAAAAAATGACTTTTTTTTTTTTTCATCCATTAAAAGCTGGCAAATGACTGAGCTGGAGCTGTGGAAATGCAACATTTCCGAGYGGTTTTTGGATTATTTGTGTTTGGGGATTGTGGAGCTTGGAGTCCAAGGGATGCTCCTCCTCAATTATTCTGCATTTACCCCACAAAATCATCTCCTCACCTTGGAGTATGGCACAGCCAGGGGAAAATTACAGGATTTTTAAAAAAAAATTACAGGAATTTAAAAAAAAAATTACAGGAATTTAAAAAAAATTACAGGAATTTGCCTATTTTCTGAGAAATCAACATCAGAACTTTCCTTTCGCACCAGAATGGAGTTCCAGATTTTCCTGCCTGTTCCCATCTTCACCACCACATTTCAACCATTCATTGCCTCGCTGCAGATGAACCAGGGAGATTTGGAGTTAATTATTCTGGGCCAGCAGCTTTTTTTAGCTGGGCAGCTCCTTCAACACGTGCAAGGGAATAAAAATAGAAACAACATCAACAAATTCAAACCTATCTACTCCTGCAGCCAGAMATCTTCCCTGAAGCTTGAGAAGTGGGAATTTGCCACAGCTCAAACTAATTCTGCCTTCCCCCCATTTCCATTTTCCTTTTCTCTCCTTTTCATTGCTTGTTTTTGGGTTTTTTTTTTTAAATTTTGAACTTTATTGCACTGAAAAAGAAAGGAGGAAATAAAATAAACAAGAAATAAATAAAAGGAAACCACCAAATACAGAATATATCGTTATAGAGTGAAGGGGTAATGGGTAGAAATGGGAAAAGTGGAAATTTAGGTTCAATATCAGGAAGAAAATTTTTAAATTGAGAGACTGGAAGAGCTGGGAGTGTTCCAAGCCAGGTTGGAGCAGCCTGGCCCAGTGAAAGTGTCCCTGCCCATCTCAAAGTGCAATGAAATTATTTTTAAGGTCCCTCCCAACCCAACCCATTGTGGCCTTGAAGCCTCAAAATTTGAGTGTTTTTTAAGGATTTTTAGCTCAGGTGTTGGGAGATCAAGGMTTGGAGGAAAAAGCTGGAAGGAAAATTCCCTGCCAGGATTTCTGGATCTGAAGCTGCTCCCCAAACACAGCAAATTCCTCCTTGTGTCTCAATGGTCCATTTTTCTCCTTTAACCCACCCTGACTTTGGGTTAATTTCTTTTTTTTTTGTTGTTTTTTTTTTCCTTTCTGTGTAGCGTTCTTAGCAGTTTTAGTAATAAATAAAACTTAGCAGTAACAAATAAAATGTAGCAGTAATAAATAAAATTTAGTAATAATAAATTCATTTTACAACTTAAGTTCCAGCCTGTTTAGGAGCACAAAAATCATCCTCTCAATCCCTAATCTTATCTAAAATCCATAAATCTTTGYGATAATTTGTTTTTTYTCTCTCCCTTCTGCCTCTCCTGGGCTGGGGGAAGATGTGGGTGCCTTGGTCAGGGTTCAAATCACAATTTTCAGGATGTTTTGTGAGAGCAAAACTCACCTTTGGCCAGGCGTTCCAACCTCTTGCCATGTTCTGGGGGGATGGCGTACCTGGGGGAGGCAAAACAGAGANGGAACCAGAGGGGTGAGGCAAAACAGAGACAAAAATCAAAATAAAAATAAAAATAGTGAAAGGAAAAAACTGGGAACCAGAGGGGTGAGGCAAAATAGAGACAAAAATCAAAATAAATATAAAAATACTGAAAGGAAACTGGGAACCAGAGGGGTGAGGCAAAATAGAGACAAAAATCAAAATAAATATAAAAATACTGACAGGAAAAAACTGGGAACCAGAGGGGTGAGGCAAAACAGAGACAAAAATCAAAATAAAAATACTGAAAGAAAAAAGCTGGGAACCAGTGGGGTGAGTCAAAACAGAGACAAAAATCTGCTGAGGAAATCATTTAAAAGGTATAGGGAACGACTTCTACACTTCCTAAAGATGGTTTTATTAAATTGGGGTAAATAAAGTACAGAAGAATTAAACTGAAAATTTTTTTTGAGTGCAAATTATTGAACAAAATGCTGGAAAAACAATCTGAAGGTCACAGGGCTGGAGGTGCCAAAAATCAGGGAAGTTTCAAAAAACTCTTTTTCCTCCCAAAAGCTGCGAGTTCTCTCAGTGCTTTGAAGTTCATAATATTCTCAGGAGACAAAGATTTATTTGTGGGGTTGTGAGGAGGGACTGACTACCAGGACACACTGAAATGTGTTTAACATGGTGCCACACGACAACATTGCCAATGGAAATGTGTAAATCAAATTAAATATGGCTGGAAATATGGAGAATTCCCAGAATTTACACTGCTGGGGATGGCATTTATTGCCAGCTATAACTTCTCTTCAAAGGGAATCATAAAAAACACGTTATTTCTGCTGTTTCCAATAAAGATGTCAAAGCCATCCTGCCTCTGGGATAGGATTTTGTAAGGGGGATGCACCAACAGGTACCCAGTGGGTACAAAATTATCCCATTTTATTCTCCTGATCATCTATTTATTTACTTATTTTATTTATTATTATTTATTTATTMTMATTTATTTASTCTCYTGATYATTTATAAAATGAAGCATTCTCACCCCTTCYATCTGGCAGTCACTGAGTCAAGGATGATAATTTTCCTTGGATTTTGTGTCTGAAAAAACCTATTCTGCCTCTGGGAATCTGTTCCAGAATGTTTGGGAAGGAGTCAGTGTTAAACTGTCAGGGTGGGGGATMAAAATGCACCAGATTTGGGGGGATTTCAGCCAAATTCTGCATTTCCAAGGTGAGGAGAGGCAGCTCAGAGTCACAAACTCAACCACACCTGAGCTGGCCAGAAATCACAGCCCAGAAATCCCACATGGGATTTAGAACCTTTAAGCAGATTTCAACTGATGGCTTTTAAAAAATATAAATAAAAAATTTAAGACAAAACGCTACGTAACACCTAAACTTGTAAAAAAAAAAAAAAAAAATAATCTTGTAAAAATAAAAAAAAAAAGCAGAGATGGACTCCCACAACATCCCCTGACCAAAGTTTGACAGCGCCTTAAATTGTGTAATTATCAAACAATTCAATTCCATTTTGTCTGGGACAAAGCTGGTGGCTTTGCTTTTACAAAGACCATTCATCACTTACATAAATGTGATAAAACTAATCCCGATCCAAAGCTCCTTTGTGGGATTAATGTCCCTTAAAACAGGGAAATGAGACATTCCATTCCTTCTGGGAAAAACGCTGAAGGATTGGGAAAGAACTAATTTATGGCTACAAGGCTGCTGATGATTAATGTAATATCCCCAGTCTACAATGCAACCTTCACTTAATTAGTGCCTGTAATTGGGAGTTGTAAAGATAAGATTAATTGAATCTTGAGGATGTTAAAAGTTTAATACGTTGGAACACGGTTATTGTGTTATCTGAAACTGCAGCCTGCAAAAAGCCAAGCAAGGCTTTAGAGAACGGCCCGTGGAGAGACAAAGGGGAAAAAAAAAATAAAAAATAAAAAATCAAGACTTGCTTGGATAAAAACCAGCCAGAAAGCAGGAATTTCCACTTAGAAAAAAGAACTAAATGTAATAATATACAAATCAAAATACCCCGGCACGGAATGGTAATAGCCGGCTCCAATTTTAGAAATTTAACTTTTTTTTTCTCCTTTGGGCCGGTTTTTAGGAAGCAGAGCCCACACATCCCTCTGAGTTTATTCTTAGGAATTCAACGTATTAACTGCGGAAGAGAATTAAAAGTAGGTCAAATTCTGCTTTAAGTTATGCTCACAAATCTGACTGATTTCCATAAAGATAGGCAATAAAGACAGAATTTGGGCTGCTGCTTAAAAGCAGCGAGAGGGACAGAAGGCTCCGGCACGTGCAGCACAGATTGAGCTCTATCTACACAAAAAAATCAACCATCACCAGGCAGAACAACGATGGGAAAAATCAAAATTCTGCAATTGAGGGAGGGCAGTTTTTGAGCAATGAACACCCCCAGACATCACCAGGGTTGGCATCACCCCCTGCTCTSTGTGGGGACAGWAATCCTGGTGTCCCTTGTCACCATCCCCAAAGCTCAGCTCTGCTCAATTCCATGGGCAACCCACAGATCTGAACCACCCAAAAATCCCCTTTTTTATAGGCTGGGAATGCTGCCTTGGACTCAATTTGCCCCTCTGGCTYAGCCTGGTCCACAGGAAAATGGGAATTTTGATGGCCACAAAGCCAAACCAGCAGCAGGATGGAGAGAAATCCGAATTTCAAGGAATTGGGCTTGCAAAGAAACCTTCAATGCCCACTCCAAGACAAAGGGCCAGGCTTCACCCAAACCCCAGCACTCAGCAATTCTGGGAATTGCAGTGGGAAAAAATGTACGGCTGCTCCGCCAGATTTACGGAGCGGGAGAAGAAAAAAAAGCGGCTCAAGATGAAAAAAGTTATAATTCTGTGACTCAAATGTCATCTCACCCTGAAGTCAACAACCTGAAAGTAATATACTGAGCCTTTTAAATTACCTTTTTCTACTTTCCAGCAAAACAACAGAAAATCCCTGAAGTGGATCAAGCACCACTTGTAGGCATCCAGAACTCGCTGTTCTGCTGGAATGACTCTCGGCTTCCAAACTCATTTCATGAAACTTAATTCTGGCATTTCTGATCTCTGCTTCCRTGTAATTTCCTGAGTTCTTGAGTCAGGATCACAGGTCCTAAAGGTTTTTGCCCCAGAGCTGTGGATGTGTTAGAAAATTATCTTCCTGGAGTGGTGCCTTGCTTTTGTTAACGTGGAATCACAGAATCCCAAAATGRTTTGGGGTTGGAAAAGATCTTAAATCTCCATTTCCACCATTCCAACCTGCTCCAAGACACTTCCAGAAATCCAGAGAAATCCATTTCCAGAATTCCAGAAATCCATTTCCAGAAATCCTTCTATGGGAATTCCATTCCAGGGCCTCCCCACCCTCCCATCCCAACCTGAATTTAACTGGACAGTCCCCTCTCTATCCTTAACACAAAAAAAAATATAAGATCTGTCCCATTTGCCATCATAGGATACCATTAATAGTGTAATTTTCTTGGTGTTTTGTTTATTCCCCTGGAATGGGGCCTTGATGGATGTGGATAATTATCAGCCTATAAAAGCCTGCAAATGTGCTATTTTCTATCGCTCTAAATCATCAAACAAATAAAGTGTGAAACAGCATTTCTGAATACAATTTTCCCCTCTAATGGCTTAGAATTATGAGCGGGAACAATCAGAATAAATAAGCAAATGTCTGGTGAATTAAGAATTAAACAAGTGTGTCAGGAAAAAGGAGAGGCCAGGCTGTCCTGGGATGCAGGATTGAGGCAGCTGAGGGATGGTGGAAGAGGGAATTTAGGGAATTCAGGGAATTCAGCAGATCTCAGGATCCTTCCAGCCTCAGTTTCTCCCCTCACTGCTGCTTCTCCAAAGGGAGGCAGCTCAGTTTTGCCTTCCACCAAAACCTTCACCCACAGCAAAGCCCTGTTTATTCCTGGTTCCTCCTCGTTTAGGAGGAATTTTTCCTTCCCCCTGAAGCCATCACCACCTTTGGCAAAGGACCAGACCATCCCATCCCTCCATCCTGCAAATCTCCCAAAACCTTTTCTGTCATTCCCAGAGTTTCTGACAGGCTCCASATCTCATTCTTGCACCAAAACAGAGCAATTAAACCGTGATTAATCCCCCAAATCCCACCCACCACGCTCTCCATGAGGACAGGGGGAGGTTCAACCACAAAGCTTCAGAAATGTCACTTCAGTGCAAGAAACCCAATTTCACAGGGTCTGCACAAGGGCTGCCCAAGCAGGTCCCCCTAACAGTTTAACACCCYATAATTACTGCAAAAAGGAACAGCAGAAACACATTTGAAATGCCCAGTTCCCCGTGTCAGGCAGCTGGGGTGAGTTATCTGCCTTCAAAGCAGATTTAATTGTGCCAAGAACGCTGACCCGGAGAAGTTTCAAATGCCAGCTCGCTCTCGGGCATGACAGGAGGAATGAAAAAATGTTCTTTGGGGTAAAAGGTGAACATCAACCCAAAATGTGAGCCCTGCCCTGCCACACCTTCACCCCCACGATGGCAGCAAAGGAAACTCCTCGGTCCAGCAGGAGAATTCATCACCCAGAAGGAGAATTCATCACCCAGAAGGAGAATCCATCACCCAAAAGGAGAATCCATCACCCAGAAGGAGATTTCATCACCATCAGAACCACAAAGAGCCACCAGGAGCACGGGAGGGTCCCTCCCTGCAAAGTTCAGGTCCTGCTTCTAAAAAGGTCTCGTTTTTCTATGAGGTAAAACATTTTTTACATTCACATCTCATCCTCATGTCAGAGCAAAGATTGGGGGAAAAAAAGGGGTTTTTTCCACACTGAAATATCCTGGGATATTCTGAGCTGGAAGGGACYCACAGGGATCAAAGTCCCATTTTTCAGTCCTGTATTGAAGCTGTTTTGCCTGTATGGGAAAAGAAAAAAGGTATTTCCACAAGAAAAACTGATTGTTCCTTTATTGGGAACATTGTCACCTCCCTCCCACGGTCACTTCTCTTCC